CATGTGTTTCAACTCTACTCGCTTCCGGTCCCTTGCTCTTCCAGTTCCACTTAACAACATGATATATGATTAGCTGCTTCATTTTGAATCAAATTGTCAGATTTCATTTGTTCATGAGTAACTGCGAGATACATTATGGTAGTTGATGAATAGAAATGCCAGACCAGAAGAGGAAACGGGGAGTACTTTGGTACGGTAAGCGAGTTGCAGGGCTCCAACTCCTGTTTCCCATGTTAAAACCAAGAAGCTCTGGTAGTCCTAATGAAGTAACTCGTTGACTATTCAATGATTCGATAATTTAACCAAAGAACCAATAAACCGGCCAGTTTTTGACCAATCCAACAGGCACTGAAGGCCTGCTACTCCGTAGTTTCAGGCCAACAACTGCTATAGGGATAGGGGTGGAATGGAATCAGCAGAAAGTTGCTAAAACAATCGTTTCCTTTTCTTCCTCCTTTCTGTCCCCTCCCCCACCACCACCACCAAACAGGAAAAATGGAAAAAAAAAAAAATCCCTCTTCACAAAATCTAGCAACCAAGAAATCTTTAGTTTAACATGAGCATTTTGTTTATCCTGAATGTTGACATGTAAAATTAATTCGTTCACAATTGCCACAATCTGCTGCGGCCAACACACAAAACAAAATGAAGCTATAGGCCTGGAGCAATACACTAGTGAAAGTGATGATGCTCATTCCTGGCTGGCCAAGACGATCATCAAGAGCTGAGCTTATAAATAGGCTAATGACGTTATCATCGATTAGCATCTTTCTTGTTCTTTTGACAAAAATGTCGACACAAGGATTGAAGGTGTTGACATTCTTTTCTTTTTGAAAAAAAAAAAAAAAAGGAGGAGCATAGAATGAGATTCTTAAGAATCAGAGGCTAGAGAAGTCGATGGTAATTGTTAACAAAAGTTAGACAGGGAGCATCTCATTCTTTCAGGTTTGCAGCTTCCAGCCACAGACACATTCCGCTTTGTCGATCAATTTCTTCTGCCATACATTTTCAAACCCCAAATATCAATCATGCGTATCAATCAATGTTCATTCATTATGCTGAATTTGTTTTGGGACGAGAGGCTAAGAGAATGATCAGGTTAATTGCGTTCCTAATTAGCATGCAAGTTCGTTCACAAGATGAGGGAATGAATAGCTTAGTTAAATATTATTATACTACTGATTCAACGAAGGGAAGGAGAATTCCAGGAGTCATGCTACTATATATATCTGGCTATTTTGTGGTGCCAAAGGCCATTAATCCTCCTAATTAAGTTGCAGCACTGTACGTGGGTAGCCATGCACGGTAGCTGACAGCAACCGGCCTGGCCCGGCCGGCTGTCAAAGATGTCGAGGAGGCAGCTCCTCACATGGGGGGGGGGGTCTGGAATCAAATAATGCATTCTGGAGGAGGATCAAATCTAAACAAAGGGCAGGGCTTCAAATTTTTGGCAATACAAGACTTTAATTGATTCTTTGAAGTCCAATTAGTTCAGTAACTGCGCTTCATGATAAAAATTTATGCAGTAATTGTGGATAGGATATAGATATACCCTCACTTGGTGGTAATTTTATGAGTCCTATCCAATATCTATAATTTATTTATTTATTTTGTAATCTAACATTCTTATCCTTGCAATGAAGAGTAAAATGGTCCGGCCTGAGTTAAAGAATGTGAGACAAGAACGTGATTGAAAATGTACGTTAATGATGCAAATAAATAATTTTGTTTAAAAGGGGAACGGATTGACTTTTATCATATGTGTGTATGTACATTATAGTTTGTCTACATTAATATTAATTTACTCACTATTATTAATTAACTCATTGCTGTAAAAAAAAAAATTTAACTCATATAATCTCTGATTTTAAATCATTAGCTACAGTCGCATAACATAGGTGATGCTCACTGTGTGTGTGTGTGTGTGTGTTGAAGAAGGATAAGTTAAAAGATTCAGATTGGGAATTACTACTTATTTTAGTGTTGTCAGTAGATGCAGAAAGAATGCCCCTTGGGATCTTTCAGTTTATTAGTAATACTCTCTCTCTCTCTCTCTATATATATATATATGTATATATATGTATATATATATATATAAAAGATGAATTTAGTAATAAAATATCATAGCAGAGTTATTAATTTTATAGGTGTTTTTAGTTCACTGTTCTTTATTCAACATGCCCGTCAGCTGAAGTAGCAGCTAGTAAGTGGGGAGCAACCCAAAAAAACCAAAGAAAAAAAAGAAGGAAAAAAAAGAACTTTTCTGCTTATTGGGGAAGAAATGTAACAAAAACAACAACAAATTTAGGTGTGTGAGTAGAATGAGTGATTAAATAACTTGTAATTGCACGTATCCACCTCCATATGTACGAAAGAATTATTCGTATCTCTTTTCTCATCTCGCAATAGCTGCTAATTCTTCCCCTTACTAAAGCAAATTGCAGCATTTTAACCTTCTTTTCCCAAAAAATGATGGTTGTTTTGGCAGTGACGGTAATGCTAATAACTAGACATATATTTCATTAAGATGTGTTTAGATAATTATAGTTAGATGCAGCAGTTATCTTAACAATTCATGTGCAGATAGTAAAGTGATAAATGATTTTCATAAGAACAAATTTTTTTTTTCTGGAGATGACAACTGTTGTATAACCTATCTATCCTAGACTGCCGGGAAGGAGGAGCCTACAGAGACTTTGTATTAGGAGCTAGTAGATACGCAGACTTTACTAGATAAAGGGAGTGCGATAGTATAACCCTTGGAATTTTTTTTTTAATTTTATTTACTGTAGATGGAATTTGAACCCCCTACCTACAGTCCAAGCAGGATCTTAAGACCCATCTCGGTGGCGGCGGCCGCTGAGCTAGTGGCCAAGCACAGTGGTTTCATAAGAACAAATTTGAGAGTATACTTGCCATAATAAAGTGGCAAAAATTGTTTACTCCAAACCATCAATTCTCTCTTTGTATGCAATAGTATAGATGTTAATGCAAATTTCAGAAGTGGCAGCTTGAATTACTTGAATTACCTTGCCAAATCGTGGACTGTACTCCATTCCTCAACAAGAAGTCCGACCAAATGAAATAGACAGATATCATTCTGAGATAAGATTGCTTGCTTTATAGATATCGGTCCAAACTTTAGCTTAGAGCAACCGGCACCCAGAATTCAGCGCGGCTATAATTAGTGGCGCAGATCAAGGTCACAAAGATTAGCATTAATTAATTGTGTTGTGGCATCTGATCAGTATTAGTAATAAATTGCACGCTTAGCGGCTCGATGTATGGTGACATTTGATAAGCGTCTGATTTTAGTTCGAGCTTTTTCACAAATATTCATGAATCCTATAATCTCCCCGAATTTTGTATCCCAACATTAGAGTAGTTTTATGAGCCCCTTTTTTTTTTAAAAAAAAAAATAATTCATTAATAGATTGTTGAAAATCGTTCATCACCATTTGATTTACATAACTGTCACATTAAACATGCACTAGAATTACGGATTTGTAATTCAACAGATACGATAAATCTTACAAAACAAACCTGTAATTTGGCAAGAAAAAGAAATCCTTAATTATGTGCCTGTCACTTTTATTCTTTCCTTGATTCTTCAACCTAACAAACCATAATTTGACTAAATCGTTCACGTTATCGCTTGATGCATTTGTTAGCAACCACAACTAAGCGCAAGCTTATCTCATCGATGTTATCATAAAGATGCCCTTCACTAACATATAATATATAATCTTCTTTGCTTTGCCTTGCAAACTCGATAGAAATTCATGTTGGGCACAAAACCAAGCGTATTGTTCTTCTATTTGTTGGCTCATCATCCCTATTTCCCGAAGGCCGGGGACGGAATTTTAAAAAAAATATTTTTTTACAAAAAAAAAAAAAAAGAAAAATCTTATCCTGCATCTTGTCTAACTGGAAAAGTTAATAATGCCTGTTTTTTTTTTTTTTTGTCAAAATAAATCGGCTCTAGAATTCGGCAAGCTTAGATAGCAAGCTAGCTAGCAAGCTTCAAGGACCATAATATAATAGCTAGGGAGGGAGATGGAAGAAAGTTTAATCTGTGCTGAATAGTGTCAACGTGTAATTTAGATTGGTGCAGTACATATATATGGCGACACAAAGCAGTGGTTTATGATCCCTGCCTAAGGTACGGTAAATTCATGTTCGGATTGCATTTTTCTTAATTTTTTATAGAAAAAAAAAATTACTGTAGTAATTTGATATATGTAAGATAAAAAGATAATTTAAATATTGTATTCACAGAAAACGAAGCAAATTTTCTTTCCAAACAAGGCACAAGCGACAAAGATTAGGTCATTATTTTGTTATATACACTAAATTGTGGGGACGTTAGTCATATGGTATAGAAGGTAAAATGTCATGAGGTCTCGGGTTCAAAATTTATGGGAATGAAAAAAATAACGTTAGAAAAACTTTCCTTTATAAGAGCCCGACTCACTTCGAAAATATGATTAGTCGCAGATTGTAAAACGAATGCGAACATTTGTGAGTTAGACCTAAAAAAAGAGAGCAAAATGCAAGAGCCTCAAACAAGTTAAAGTTAAGCACTTAGCAGCAACGCAATTACGGTACCCACCAAAGCGACTTCTTACCCAAAAAATCAATCCCAACCCACACCACCCCATGGCCCAATCCAAATTTAGAAAAAAAAAAATAAATTCCGCAGATTCTATCCACTATTTTACGTGGCAACTTTTACACATGTCGCCCCGTAACAAATTTGTCATCCAAAACGCCTCTCAAATTCGTCGTTTAGCAAAACAACCCACCGAAAATTCATTTCCAGCCCGCCGATCGATATTCCACCCAAAATCCCTAACCCACCCTCTGCTTATTACTTAACCCCATCTTTAACCACTCTAGCTATCTTGTATATTCCCAATACTACCCCCCAACTTGCAATACATTTACCACAAACCCCAATCCCCTCCCGCTCCCATTCCATCCTATAAAGCTTGCCTTTGACAACAGCTAGGTTTGCCAAACTGAGGAGCCTTAGGGCCCTTCCAAGGAAATCCAACAAGTCTTCCCTCCCTCTCTCCATTTCTTTCCTTTTCCTTTCATTTCCTCTCTCCCTCTAGAGTCAAGGGGAAAAAAAAAAGAAAGATAAAAATTGCGGTCAGTCTGGTCTAGTGGTAGACCGGTAGTAGTTCCAAATGCCGACATCTTCTAGAAGGTCCAGCGGGCCGGTGTTGCCTATAGCGTCGGCGTTTCAGCGCTCCGTGTCTCCGTCTGGCCGGTTTTATTCCCCGCCCACCGCCTCCGACAAGTCGTCCTTTTCTTCATCCACCTCTTCCAGCTTTTGCTCCTCCACTTCATCCAGCTTCTTCCACCGATCGGCGTCTCCCACGCGCGTTAACCTCCACGGACTGGCTCCGATTTCTCCGACGCCGTCGGTACGGATGTCCATCGACAGATCCATCTCGCCTCGCCGGTCCGTGGCGATGTCGTCACCTCGGGACCACCACCACCAGGTGGTTCGCAAGCAGAGCAGCTGTAAGAGGACCTGCTTGTGTTCTCCCACCAGCCACCCAGGTTCCTTCAGGTGTAGTTTGCACAAGAACTTAAACAACTCGCCGCCGCCGCAGCAGCAGTCGCCGTCCTACTCGTTGAAGAATCTGACCATTCAGAGATCGGCGATGAAGAATTCGCTCGTCCGGATCGGGACAGTTGAAGGCGATTTGGTAAAGCGAGCTTTAGCGGCTCTGATTAGGCCTTCGTCGCATCAGATTCGCCGCCGCAGCGATTTCCAGAGAAGGCCGAGCCGGCTCTCAGCCATGTCCAAAGCCGGAGATCCGTAGACACAGGTTGGTCTGACAATTTTTGATATTATCCGATAATTTTTGTCTGCCAGCGTTTTCCGGCGAAGATGTCGGTGCCGATGAAGATAGACGAGAAACCGGCGGTCGGTTTCTGTACTCCGGCGATTCGAAGTACCAAAGGAAACAGATAGTAGCAGAGTTTTGAAACAGGGAGGGGACCCCAAGTGAAAGTGAAATCTATCACTTCCTTGTACATAGTGAATTGCTTGGAGCTCTGTGATTGCTAGTATTGCAATTGTTTGGAGGACATTTTTGGACAAAACATTGAACACGTTACATTGAATTTTGGCCAACTAATGCCAAAACATTACTGACAATAACAATAATATTATTATAATAATGGGCAAAAAAAATGGGGCTGGTGAAGTTGTATCGTTCGTTCCTTGGTCATTTGAACTCGAATCAATTCGTCCGGATGAACTCCGTGTGCGTATGTTGTTGTGCATGAACTGTGTGTTCTCGGCGCCGGGATCTCCGTTCAGTTCACCGTTACGTGTTCGTATTTTCCGTTCCGTTCAGCCGTGCAAGGTACGTTCGTTCAGCATTACGTATTTTTTTTTCCTACTCCTATTTTGTACTTATTATTTATTTTTGTTATAGTGGTACTGCTATGCTGTTTTTGTTGGTTGTGTATCTGACAGGCGTATGGCATCATGAGCTCAGCCATGGGATGTTGTTGAATTTGAAGCCGCATTCGGAACGGACTTCAAAACACTTTTTTGGACCAATAATAGAAGATAACGTCTTGACATTGGATGCTGGGTGGCAATATGAAATTTTGGACCTTGAAACTAGCACTTACCCCACCTAGGGATCGTTGCTTGGAGCTTATTTTTATGGACTTTTTAAAAAAAAAAAAAAAAGGAAAAGAGAAATATAAGTAGAATTTAAAATGAAAAAAAAGGCACATAATTGGTGAAGAAACTTTATATATATATATATATATATATATATATATATATATGAATGAGGACAATAAACTATGGCATTTCTACTAATAAAATCTCTCTCTTGTTATGAAAAATCAAAAAATGGTGGAGTGATATTAAATTAATATTCTTTTAGAAAGGGGAAAAAAGACTTGGTATGGTAGGAAGAGTGAGGAGCGGAAGGTGGTGAGTCTGGAGCACCCCAACCTTGGAAAGATGGTCCCAGAAACAGCAGAAGAAGATAGATTTTACTAGTGGAATGGAGCCCAAAAAAAAAAAAAAAATAATAAACGAAAGGTTTTACTAGTAGCAATTTAATTCGTTGGGGAAGGTGGGAAAATGTTGGGTCTTTAGGCAGTGAAGTATTTGGCCAAAAGGATGTGTGGATTGTAGCAGTACAAAGTCAATAAACAGAGAATTAATATCCCTCAAGAAATCTGTAACGGAATGGTGACCTCTTAGCTACCGGAGAATTCAGAAATAAATCACTTAGACGTGGCATTTTTTGGTGGGAGGCACGTCGCAACCGGAGGGGAATCTTTCAAGTTCAACCTCTTATATTTTTGGGTCATCTCATTGCTTAATAAGATGGGTCCCCGTGGACAATGGACGAAGCCTCCAAAGTTTGTCAAAATACACAAATTTTTTAGTGCCTCTCCACCCACAGTCACCCACTTTGAATGCAAGCATGATATTGATATACGGAGAATTTTTTTGGTTGCCCAACTTTGAACGCCAGCTCTTTTCCATTTTTCACACTGGTATCATATTACCATACACATTCACCAGTCAATCATGACCGCTTTTTCCATACTAATAAATATATGTTTTTATTAGTATGAATACAACTGTAATAGAGCATCAATAGAACTGTTCTTGTGTCTTCATGGTGTAGACTCTTCTCACCAAAAAAAAAAAAAATTAGGAGGAGGGGGGGGGGATTAAAGAAACTGAGTGGTGCAGATGTAGACCCTGAGAAACTCCAGGGCTTCAACTTTTCTTATCTTTTGGCGGTTGGGCAGTTGGAGATTACCTGTCAATTGGCATCTTTGGGTTTTTCAGACCTTTTGGGTCTATCCCGTGTGGGCCTCTCTCACTCTCGCGGGAGAATTTTAATACAGCGTGATAACAACCGGACAGAAGACACAACAATCATCTATCTAGACGGAGTTGTACACAATGCACACAAACAGATAAAAAAATATATAGTATATGATTTTGTTTAATTACATAATAGCCCTTGGAATATGTGCCACTTTTTCAATATACGGAGGAGCTTTTTGCTTCGAGGAAGGATTGGATTAGATAATAAAGCGAGAATAATTGGGGATACTGGACTTAAGACTTCCAATCTACACAAAAAAAAAAAAAAAGTTATCTACTTCAAAACAAATGTGAAATTAGTAGTAAATCATAATTGTGGGATAACTTCACATACCTCCCTTGACGTTTACAACAATATCATCATATAGTTCTTCTCGTGCTTTCAAAATTACCCTACTTCCCTTATTTTTTTTTTAAGTTTCATTAGAAGCATTGAACACTAATTTTTAAGGTTGGTGCTATATATTACTTCCACATTAATCGTTGACACTGTCTGAAAAAATGGATACGCAATACTTCAAAAAGATTGTGAAAATGGTGGAAACGAATTCCTAACTCATAAAAAAATTCACAAATTTTTAGTAATTTACAAGTAAGAGCATTCACAGAGACTTATACACAAAAATACATATTGCCCTATAAATTTTGTTAATAGTAAAACAGTCAATGTACAGATTGGACTGTAACCAAGTTTAATCCAATCGAATACTTTAGTATTCAAAATTTTTGTTTATTTTAATGAAATTAAAATTATGTTCAAAATTTACTAACTTATTTATTGATCGGAACTCGAGTAACTCTATTTTTTTTGCCTATCACTATTAAAATTTAAATATCCGACAGGTCTTGATCTCAGAATTTCGGAATTGGGTCCGGGTTAGATTCGGGTCTAAAAGGTCCAAATTTAAATATTTCAAAATTAAATCCAAAATCAATCACAAATTCAATCTCCAAACTTAAACAAATCAAATTACAAAACGAAATCACAAATAACTCGCAATAGTCAATTCAAAACTAACCACCAATCATCAATCTACAAAGTCATTACTAAATTGTTAATTTGATAAAAAAAAAATGCATTTAAAAATTTTATTGCTCGGATCCGAGTCGAATATGGGCCGAAATACTATATTTTCATAACCAACCCGTTTTTATTAGAGTAAATGGATCTGGATCTAGGTTTGGGTATCGAAATTATTTTCCAACCCAAATCCAAAAAAAAATCGGATCCGGGTCAGGTTCGGATCCAAATCCTCAAACGGAATCTATCCTACATGCAGTCAGAGATTGTGGATAGATTTCACATATATGGAAGAAGTTGGTTAATCCTAGTGGTTGGAACTTATTCAGAAATAAACCATTGCTATAATGGATTGAGTGTGTAATAGAGAAAATATTAGGCTTAGGGAGAGAACAGACATCATCCGAGACTCCAAAGTCTACACCTATTGTCCTAATATTCTGTTCAATGCCTAAATTATCTTGCATGTTCACACCAATTGGATTCACTAAGTTATTCTCTTCATTAGCAGAGATAATTTCCATATCAGAGACATGCAAGTTTATCACTAGTTTTAACTGATGTATTTTGAACATCTCATTAACAACATAGTCATCATTAACATTCATTATGCAATTTTTTTTAAAGAATTTCACATCTCATTTGCATAATCATGTTAACATTCCTAGGGATTTTGCTCAATGTTTTTTCAGTTACATCAAACAATTAGTTAATGTAATGGATAGCCACTTGAATCAACATTTATAATTCTGATTTTGTTTCTATTACAGTGAACATCAATGTCATAAGTAACAGCAAGAGTCCCTATCCTACATTTTCAGATTTGGATGCAAAGTGGTGATAAAAAAAAGTCCATGTTTGAGCCTTTATTTTTTTACAGAAACACATGAAATTTGCAAATAACATCAACATACATTAAATATAGCTCTTAAGCTTTACCACCAACTAAAAAATCTACTGATCAAGCAAAAATCTATTACATGACATCCTACCTTTCTTGAAACTGATTCACCAGAACGCTTCACTACAGTAGTGTTGCATTGAAAATGAAAATTCGTACTTTTATTTCTGCTTTTAATAACCTCACTTCCAAGCTGATTAGAACAATTTCACTTATCGTCCATTGTCTTTTTCTTTTTCTTTGGTTTTTTTTTCTTCTCTATATCTTCCCTTCTAGTTATATGGCTACAAAGTAAGATGTATTTGTTCAATCATTCTTGTCAAATTGGCCCAATCACAAAAATGGCACCAACTTTCTTCTTCTATTGGCGCCATTTCTAATGGACTTTTAATCACCTAAATAGAAGTTAAATTTCTGTTATTCTAGTTAATTGTGGTTAGCAATGTGAAGATGCATTTCATCCCCAAATTAATGTCAGTCATTGTTCTCAACTTCAAAGGACAAACCGGTAATTTTGGCACTCATGCTGTCAGCCTAGGGGTGCAAACGAGCCAAGCTCGAGTTAATTTTGTGAAACTTGAGCTCAACGAGGTCAAAATATCAAGCTCGAGCTTGAGCTTAAAAAATAAAATATTATTATTATTATTTTATTTTTAAAAAATAAAAAATAAAAAATAATTATTTATTTTTAAAAATGAATAAAACAATAATTTTTTTAATAAATAATAAAATATTAGAGATATATATGTAATTTTACTATTAAAATAAAAAAAAAAATAATTGAACTCGCGAGCCAACGAGTTTAATAATTTTGAGCTCGAGATCAATTTAATTAGTTTGAACTCGTATTCGAGCCGCTCGCGATCGGCTCTCTAGAGCGACTCGATTCGCGAAACACTCCCATGTCAGCCACAGCCCTGCCACAGCCAGAGAGCTCAGTGATATTTTTAAAATCTTGATGGGTGTCAGTGCAAGTGTCAGAAAGCTCAGGGGAGGTTTGCAGCGAACCGAACTCAACATTGATTTGACTTCCACGAGTGCATGCCCCCCTGCCCGCCGCGCCCAGCCAATGTATAACTAAAATCGCTAAACCAACCAATGCAAACTCCGCCAACTTTGGTGGTTGGGAAATTTTTACTACCACTCGCTTTTGGCAGATAAAAAATGTCGGTTTGGTCTACTCTCCGGCGATCATCTCAACCCTTAATCGACCATCATCGCCGATGCATAATCCAATCGCTCCCGAACCGCTACTTCTCCTCCTTACCGCCGCTATTGCCGCCGGCGACAGCATCCCATTTGGGTCGTTGTACTACCAGTAGGCCATTCCTGAGATGGGTCGTCCCTGGAATAATCGCAAGCTCTACCATTGCTCTCGCTCTCTATTCTCGTACTACTAGTAGTCCTCCTGCAAATTTCCCATCTTTATCATTTGCTGATGATGGCTCTGTAAGTGTAAATTCTCCATCCTTATCACTACCAACCCCACCTGATGATTGTGATGCTGATTATGATAATGATGATGGTCGACCCAATCAATCCAAGTTTCTGTTTGGAGGTAACTTCTTTTTCCTACTAGTATTAGAACTAACATCTACTTTTCTATCTGGATTTATAGAAACTTGAACTTTGTTTTTTTTTTTTTTTTGGGGGGGGAAAACAGATGCTTATAGGAGGAAAGTGTTTTTTAATTATGAGAAGCGCATACGGATGCGAAGTCCTCCTGAGAAGGTAGATATCTTACTGATTGAATTCACAATTATATATATGTTGTTGGTACAAATCGGATTCTGTTTTATTCTTCTTGTTAACAGAAGAAACTACTTAGCTTATCCCTATTTGCCATTGGACTTGTTTTGTGTGGAAAATATATGTTATTTGTCTTTAACAAGCTGTCACCGCAGTTGTTCACAATCTTGAACTACATCATCTCATCTCAAAATATATAGCTCTCCCTGTAGCCAAAATATATAGCTCGAGGACCTAAACCAGATTTAAACTTCAAACTTTTAACCTTCGAAACAAGAAAAGAAAGGACAAAAGAAAAAAGCTTGCAACTCCATCCATGTACCCTACCCTTTTAGCTCCACATTTGCACGTATTATCTAGTATCTGCGGCAAGTTCTTTAGGTCCTGACTGAAGAAGTGTTTCAGACAAGTTTGGATTACATTTGCTTATTGAAATGAAGAAGGCTGCTTTTTTTTCCCCTCTCTCGAGGCTACTTCCTGCTAAATCTCTCCAGTCACCTTGAACGCCCGCAGTTGTTTCCCAAAGTAGTCACCATTGTTAACTCTAGATGTCCATAAATCACTGTCCACTTTGTGAACATTGCTCTGGTGGCTACCATCACCCAAGTTCCAAATAAAAACCTGGGATCACCCACTATAAAGATGAAAATTTCATGTGTTGTACATGAGAAATTCTCCTGCAGGGAATTATTTTTCTTTTCAATCCTATGCAATCGGATTGGGGCAATGTACCAACAGAAGCTGAATGCTTTAGCCCATAAAAGTAAAGGAAACTTCTTGTGTCCATGTGTCTAGGTTGACAACCCAAATTGAAGTTGAGGGTGGTTAAGCAATTCTTCCATGTCTTTTGGCCTGTTTTCAATTTCATTCCTTTGTACTTTTGTGTTAGTTGCATGGGGCTTTAGTTTCAATTTCATTCCTAAAGATGTACTGACTTCTACGTAGAAAATGATGTTAAAAATTCTTTAATTGTCAACTCTTTCTTAGAACAACTGATTTTCCCTTGTTTTAGAGAGCCTTCAATCTTGACTAATGCTTGAAATGGTTATGGACCATTGACAAGAACTTGCTTTCTTTTTCTGAAGGTATTTGAGTACTTTGCTTCTCACTGTGCTGATAATGGAGAAATATTTATGACTCCAGCAGACTTGATGCGAGCAGTTGTTCCTGTTTTTCCTCCATCTGAATCAAACCTTGTACGAGATGGATATCTCCAAGGAGAAAGGACTCCTGGTGAATTGCGTTGTGCCCCTTCACAGTTCTTTATGCTTTTTGATACGGACAATGATGGTCTGATATCTTTTAAGGAGTGAGTTTTGCCTTCTTCCTTGTGAAGACAATTGTTTGACGTCTTGTACCTACAATTTACTCGCTTGATTCTACCTTTTCTTCCTTCATTGTATGCCCAAGAACTGCAGTTCCCCAGTTGACTGAAGGCAGTTTATATTTTACTGTGACAGGTATATATTCTTTGTCACACTACTCAGCATTCCGGAATCCAGTTTTTCGGTGGCTTTTAAGATGTTTGACCTTGACTGTAATAGGTGGGAAATTCATGCAACTTTTACGCTAGTAGCCAACTCAGTCAATTTGTTTTTTTATTTTTCTGTTGGTTTGGAACAAAAATAAGTTTCTTGTTGCTTTGGTTATACATATAGGTTATAGTCTCTGCAGGAACAAAAGGAAAAGACTAGAAATTATAATTTTTGTCATACATATGTTTCTGCTAAATTTTAGGAAGAAGAAAATATCTACTATGAATAGGAGACTGTAAAGAATGCGTCACCTGTAGCTTCTTTGATGGAGTTGCATCAGCAAAAGTGGACTCAGAGGTTGATTAATACCTGGTGTTTGTAGGAATACTGCTTAAATAGGTAGTTCATATGATGCATTTCACTAAAGACTGCTTAATTTTAAACTTTCTACTGAACAAATTCATGCTTCTTTTTCCTTTTCCCCTTCTGGTTCTTTATCTTTGGTTTACTTTGTTTGAAGTACTCTCGAGGGCTCAAAAACCATATGCTTTTTCATCCTTCTGCTTATAATTTAATGCTCATTTCTGATGGTAGGGAAATACACAGAGAGGAATTCAAGAAAGTAATGGCTTTAATGCGAGCTCACAACAGGCAAGGGGCTTTACATAGGGATGGACTTCGAGCAGGGCATAGTCTTGGGGGTTCAGTAGAAAACGGAGGCCTAGTGGCATACTTCTTTGGTGAAGATGGGAAGAGGTGCCTTCACCATGATAAATTCGTACAATTTCTGAGAGATCTTCATGATGAAGTATAAATTTCTCTTCCACTTTATCCAGCATCATTTAGAGAAGAGAATGGATAAAATTATTTTGGGGTTCTCTATTTTGTCTTAGACACCAACTACAATTTGTCCCTATCATTATTATTATTATTTTAAATTGAGCCATATACCTATGTTTCTTGTCCCAGTTATTTTGTAATCTCTCTTTTTCTCTCTTAGTTCTATAGAAAGTTTTGTGATTTCAACTGCTGCAAAGTAATTACGTGCTTGGCCTTGATGCTCAGTTATTTTGCTTAATGAAAATGGTTTTTTCAGATGCTGAAGTTGGAGTTTTCCCATTATGATTACAAGTGCCGAGGGACCATATCCGCCAAAGACTTTGCCTTGTCAATGGTAGCTGCTGCTGATCTGAAGCATTTAGGCAAGTTGCATGATCGTGTTGATGACTTGGACAAAATGCCACATATCAGCAATGTCCGTATTACACTTGAGGAATTCAAGAGTTTTGCAGAGCTTCGTAAAAAGTTGCAGCCATTCTCGCTTGCAATTTTCAGTTTTGGAGAAGTGAATGGTCTCTTGACAAAAGGGGATTTCAGACGAGCTGCTTCTCAAGTAGGATCTCCATATCTTCTGATCATTTTCCAATTGTGAATTAATATATATTCTCCTGAAATGGTGTTCTCTTCATTTTCCAAAATAATCAATTTTTCTTGTTTTTATGAGCCCTGGAGATATGGTTCCTGTCAGGTTACATTTCTCCATGCCCATGTTACAATTCCGCTTTTGCATGCACATATTCTTGTAAATAATCTGCCCTAGCTTGCTCATTGAATCTTCGGGTTTAAAAAGATAACCTTTTAGCGGTAGTTGTGTTGAGATGTTGCTATTGTCGTGTTTTGTTCTGATGAAATCAATCATCTGTTGCAGGTATGTGACGTCTCTCTCACTGACAATGTGATCGAAATAATTTTCCATGTTTTTGATGCAAATCGAGACGGAAGTTTAAGCTCTGACGAGTTCATAAGAGTATTGCAGAAGCGGGAGAAAGACATTGCTCAACCAACAGAAGCAGGGATCTTCAACTTTTTATCTTGTTGTTGGAACTGCAGAAGCAAATACTCCATATCTCATCTGCTTTCATAATCAACTTCCACTAGATGTTCTAACGTTCAGTGCTGTGCATACTGACTGGTTCAGACGACGTGATAAGGCGACAATGATTAGCATTTTGCCGAATATTTTGTAAATCACGGGATTAACCATGCATGGCACCCGTACCGTTTCTAACATGATGCTGTGTGTCATGGCCAGGACTGGGAGTTTTAACTGAAGCATGGATGTGAGATGGTTTATGGGCTTATTGTAGTACATGATTTGGAGTTTTCTTCGTCTTCGCCTTGAAGTCACATGCTGTATGAAGTTATATGCTGTATATAGTGGGAACTCAAATGATTTATTGAGCTAGATTCGTTTCTTTTAGATGCAGTCAATGTATTCGCCTTGAAGGATTGTTTAATTTGAGCCGCAACAATAATAGTAAACGAGTGCTATTACTTGTATCCGTATTTGATGTGATGCCATGAAATGGTAGTAGTATGCAAGGTCCGCGTATGGTAGTAGTCAGACAAAAGAATTCTGCACGCGGGCCCTCCATGGACAAGGGGCTGGAGTGGTTGCTCAGAACAATCGCTCCGGAAGGTGTAACACCATTTGTACACGGTGTAACATCATCTGTACAAGGTGTAACAATAGAACAATAGCGAGTAACAATAGAACAATATTTTTGTGAGCTCCACACGACGTGAAAATCGAGTTACAAGACGTGATTTGAGCCGCACAAATTTTTGAGGCTTCATCCAGGCCGTGAACTGCCCGAAACAGTGGGACGATTGTCCGTCCAGGCCCCTCGTCCCTTCCATGGCGGGGTGACTGCTGCTGGCGTATGTATCAGATTCGTCCGCGGGTCTTCCATCGAACCAGTCTAGGTCTAGGATGGACGGTAGAATTCTAGTCAAAGCAAACAGAAACCATCATCATCATCTTAATGGAAGGGCCCCGCCGCCACCTCCTTGCGTCTGCCAGAGGTCCGGACGGGAATGTTCTTTTCTTTCTGGGGCATATCTTCTTTATTACACTGCTGTTCTCAGCAAAGCGGGGGCCCTCCAAAGTATCATGTGCACAAAATTTGACAAATGATTTTGAGACAACCCCCCCACCCCCCCTTCCCACAGTCATGAGTCATGCCTACCTCTGGTTTAATTTTTTTGGGTACGTAAAATTCTATCAAGTCAATGGAACAAAATTTGAGTCACCTCGATGGTCTTTGTGGTTTTTAGTGCTTGAGGTCGCACGTTCGAGTCACCTCTTTACACTTGTATGCTCTTGGAGGGTGGGGTGCACAAGCACAAAGAGATTAGTCCGGTAAAGTTGAGATATCTTTTGTGTTAACAAAAAAAAAGGAACAAAAATTGAGCCTGTGACGCACATGTACTCTTCTAAAGATTAGTAGTCCATTCTTGACCCCAAAACTCCTTGTTTGAAAAGCAATTTTTTAAAGAAAAATAGTTGCATTTTTCATGAATACATTTTTCAATCATCTTTTTATCTTATATATATTAAGTCGCTACAGTAACTTTTCTAAAAAAAATTCAAGAAAATGCAATACAAACGTAATTTAGCTGATAGGTATATTAATCAAATGACAGTTAGTGTGAGATTCTTTGTTTTACCATGAAACTCAAAAGTGCACATTGAACGGAGAAAAAGAAAAATAGATTAATAATCTTTTTGTGCATCAAAATCTTCCTTTCTCGTGTAACTAATAGACTAATTTACTACTGCCTGCTACCGGTACTGTTGAAATAGAAAACCACCAAGTGGCGCGCTATTCATTATTCATTAATATTGGTGGGAGGGAGTGGGGACTTTGGCGGTCCGCAGCAGGGCAGGCGGCAGGAAACCTGGCCCGTTGACGTCCCGCTCCCAAACAAAGCCAGGAGTGAGTACGAATTCCAGTTCATGAAAACCAACAAACCCTGCACAGTTCTCTGTTCCAATTATTCATATATTATTATTGTTCAGCCAGTAATAATTCTTAATAATATATTAATAAGCACTCATCATTCATTCTCAGCTGAGCTAATTCACATCATCATAGTACGAACTGAGAGTGCTCTCATTTTGCATTTAGAATAATCCCATATTCCATGCATAAACAGAGGCCAAAGTTACAAAACAATTAATTCTCTTGACCTTTTCATCATTTCCCCATAAACACCAATTCCACCTTTTTCTTTTACAAACCCTTAATCATATTACTACTCTATTTGCCTCCCATTAGTCATCTCATTTCCCTTTGATATAATCACAGATTTCAAAAAGAAGAAAAGGCGGATTATTGCCTCTTTCCTTTTTCCTTTTCTTCTCAATCTCCCCGTTGGCAATTTTGATTCATTTCTTGACTCACCAACAGGGGAGATAATCAGAGGATCCTTACCAGGTAACTCGTTAGTATTCCAATAAATTCCCCTTTCTTTGTGGGTAAATATTTTTTCAAAGTTTCTGTCTTTTTGGGTTCCTTTTGATTTAAAGTTGTAGAAAGACTCTCTGCCTTTAACTGATTTGTGGTTGCCAAAATAGTTACGTCGTGGCTTTTGTTTCAAAGGGATTCTATAGCTTTTCATGTTTTGCTTCTGTGTCTTCCGTTTCCATTTTGTAGGCCTTGAGATTAATCAAAAAGTTCTCCTCATTCTACTTCTTCTTCTGGCCTCCCATTTTGATGGGCTTTATGTGTAATTGACTGAATATTTGTCGTCCATTCTTGATTGACCTTTTCTTATTTAAATTTCTGAGCGTTTATTTTGCTTTCTTTTGGTTTGTATGAAGGTTGGAGATTCTTCCGGGAGTGTTCTTTATTCTACATCTGAAGTGGGATTGAATAAAAAGGTACCAAAAAGTCAGACGAGGTTTTTCAGCATTTTTTTTACTGGGCCGCTGTTGGATTAGGAGAATGGGAAAACCAACCGGGAAGAAGAAAGGTCCTGTGGGCTTAAATCGCAGTGATTCAAATGCTGCTAAGGTTGGCAAAGCTCCAGATCGTACCTCTAAAGCATTTGATGAAGACACAGCTGTCTTCATTAATATGTCCCAAGAATTGAAGGAAGAAGGAAACAAACTTTTTCAGAAACGTGACCATGAGGGAGCTATGTTGAAGTATGAAAAAGCTCTCAAATTGCTCCCCAGAAACCATATTGACGTTGCTTACTTGCGCAGCAACATGGCTGCCTGCTATATGCAAATGGGGCTTGGTGAGTACCCCAGAGCGATAAATGAATGCAATCTGGCACTTGAAGTTGCTCCTAAATATAGCAAAGCTTTGCTGAAGAGGGCTAGGTGTTATGAGGCTTTGAACAGGCTTGATTTGGCCTTAAGGGATGTTAACAATGTTTTGAGTATGGAACCTAATAATCTAACTGCTTTAGAAATTGCTGAGAAGGTGAAGAAGGCAGTTGAGGTAAAGGGCGTCGAGGATAAAGAGATTGTTCTGCCCCCTGAATATGTTGAGCCTCCCCTTCCATCCATATCGAGCAAGAGTACGAAAGAGAAGTTGAAAAAGAAGAAAAGTAATAGATTTGAGAAGAGGAAGGTTGCGGAAGTTGAGCAAAAGAGAGATGAGGAACCTGCAGATAAGAAGGCTGAGGATAAGGTTGTTGTGGAGGAGAAGCTTAGCGTTAAGGAAGAAAAAGTGGCCACAAAGACTGTGAAATTGATTCTCGGAGAGGATATAAGATGGGCCCAGTTACCAGTTAATTGCAATATTAGACTGGTGAGGGATGTTGTTTTGGATCGCTTTCCAAGTCTGCATGCTGTGCTTGTCAAGTATAAGGACCAAGAGGGTGACTTGGTTACAATCACCACGACTGAGGAGCTGAGGTTGGCCGAGACATCAGGCGATCTTCAGGGCTTTTTGAGACTATATGTTTCAGAAGTTAGTCCTGAGAAAGAACCATTTTATGGGAGCAATGAAGTTGAAGATTTTAATAGCACCAGCAAATTGTCTACTGTTGCGGAGAATGGGAATTTGGAGAAAGGCTTGGAACTGGACAAAGGTCAAACCTGTGTTGAGGACTGGATTATCCAGTTTGCACGCATATTCAAGAATCATGTTGGGTTTGAGTGTGACTCGTACTTGGATCTTCATGAGATAGGGATGAAGTTATACTCAGAAGCTATGGAGGATACGATCACAAGTCAAGATGCACAACAGCTTTTTGAAATTGCTGCACTGAAGTTCCAAGAGATGGCTGCTTTAGCCATGTTTAATTGGGGAAATGTTCACATGTCAAGGGCAAGGAAGCGAGTGTTTTTCAAAGAAGAGGGTGGTTCTAAGGAATCTGCAATGGCAGACATCAAATCCGCTTATGAATGGGCACAAACGGAATATGTTAAGGCGGGAATGAGGTATGAAGAAGCTCTTAGAATCAAGCCAGACTTCTATGAAGGTCTTCTTGCTCTTGGCCAACAGCGATTTGAACATGCAAAACTCTCATGGTATTATGCTATTGGAAGCAAGGCTGATTTAGAGATGGGAGCCTCTCCACAAGTTTTGGAGCTGTACAACAAGGCTGAGGATAGCATGGAAAGAGGCGTGCAGATGTGGGAAGAGATGGAGGAGGAGCGACTAAATGGCCTCTCGAAATCAGATAATCATAAAACTGAGCTGCAAAAACTGGGATTAGATGGGTTATTTAAAGACGTATCCCCTGAAGAAGCTGCAGAGCAAGCTGCAAATATGAGATCTCAGATACACCTTCTCTGGGGGACGTTGCTGTACGAACGCTCGGTTGTGGAATTTAAGCTGAGTTTACCGACTTGGGAAGAATGCTTGGAGGTTGCAATTGAAAAGTTTGAACTTGCTGGAGCATCTCCTACAGACATAGCAGTAATGGTGAAGAACCATTGTTCCAATGAGACTGCTCTGGAAGGTCAATTAATTATTCATTGCAATCTCTTCATGATAATGCTTGATGCATCTTTTCTTCCTTGAAATGCATTAAAATGTGATTGTACTAATTAGTTTGCTTTGCTGCAATTCTAGGCTTTGAAGTTGATGAGATAGTACAGGCATGGAATGAGATGTATGATGCTAATAGGTGGCGGTCTGGTGTCTCAACATTCCGGCTAGAACCTCTTTTCCGTCGTCGGGCTCCAAAACTTCATTCTATGCTACAGACTTTTTAAGGTTTCATGTTCGTGATTGGCGATTTTGCATAATACTATTATTTCTTCATTGTCCAATGGCTTGCATACTACGAAGGTAAAGTGATGCTCAGAAATTGGTTTTCTTTCTAGCTGCCTGCTGACTTTCCACAAAGAAAAACTAGCAAATTTGCTGTCTGTCTTTCATTGCTTCTAAGGACATTGGTTTAACAGGGGAAAATTTTCAAGTTTTGTCTAACTATGAGCCTAGTTATTATGGTTTATATTAACTACAAAGCTTTTCTCAACCTTGCCTCCAACTGCCACCCATTAGTGCAGAAACAGATGAGGTGACAATTTCTTGACATTGATGTACAGTTTATTGCCTGACACTCAAATTTATAAATGCACATGACTCGTACCTTATGGAGATGTTTTCACTATATTCTTGGAGTTGTCCTTGGTTGATGTTAATTAATTAGTAGTTATCTCAGTGTTTCTTTCATGCTTGAAAGGAGTCAATAATATAACTAAGAGAACAGCACTTTGGTTAAGATAATTCCAGATTATGCGCAGAAAGATTGATGGAGGGCTGAGAATGGCCAGAAACCACTTTTTGCTGTTTGCCTACTAGCTTTATTATGTCCCTTACCTGGGGAAGTATTGATCTTCCAAATTCTAGTTGTTGCATTAAGAACTTGTGGCCTCATTTGTTTGTTATAGTGTTGAATAAAATTGAGAATCAAACTACCTGAATGAAAATGGCAAGTTCTCCTTTTCTCGGTTTATCATATTGGCTTTCGAGCGTCAAACTATCAGATAAAACCTGACTGAAAATGGCAAGTTCTCCTTTTCTTGGTTTATCATGTTGGGCTTTCTCCAGTGTTCTGTTCTGCCCTGGCAAAACAGACTATCCAAAGCTAATGTTGAAGATTGAAAGAGTCATAGTTTCAGAAAATGGACAAGCAAAATCTGAAATTCTAAGCCTGACATGAGTGAAACTGTACGTCACACAGTAAAGCTGCATCCTAAAAGCAAGAATAGGAGGAAAAAAAGATGAAATTTTAGCTTAGTAGATGGCATGAACATATTGAGGGCAAAGTGAAGTGTTGCTTTATGTTTGGCAAGACTGGCATTAGTGGAAAATTCGATACTCAAAAATGGGGAGAGTTGTCTCCTACAATCATCCAAAATTTTCTATTACAGTTTTTAGTAAATAGTTCTAAGCAACGTAAGATTACAAGGGATAAAAGCATATTTCTGAAAGATTAGTATGAAAGTATATGTATTTTCTTTCGACCTGGAAACTGAAACAGCATGAGCTAGTTGTGTGGTGATATGAAAGGGGCTAATCAAGTGTGTGAACACCCCACTAGTACTGTGACTGAAAGGGTTGACGCATGCTTCTTGCTCCTACAGGTGTATAAAAGAGTTAGTTTAGGTAAAGGACATAATTCACAAATATAGAACTTATGACACGAGGATTTGTTACTCTCTAGTGTACAACAGTTTACAGTCCAATCAGGATTTGATCTAAAATTGGGCTCAGTGCAAGGAAACTAGTGGTAACCACTGCATGTGGAAGAAGCCCTGCGTTGTTTTTGTTAAGAGGTTTTTATGTAACTATTTATTCTGGTCATCTTACCAATCCTATCAGCTTTGGTCTTAGGGAGACATCAGAGCCTTCTATGTCCAGTTGCATGCGTCATAAAATTCTGATTGTATGCTCATTTATGCTGCAATGATGACATGCTTGTTGATCTTCTTGTTTAAAGATTCCTGTTTGAGATTTTGGCTTTTCTTGGTGTCACGGAGGCAGGCAAAGGAGTGTTGGACATGTGTCTGAGAGTAGTAGAGCTGGTGTCTAATGAGAGTGGGGAGCTATCTTCTGAGTGTCCTGGTCCTTTACCAACTGAAACTGATCTTAGGCATCTTCAGTTTTTCCTGTCCCAACTTTTCTGGACAATGGGGCTATGTAAGTTTAAGCCTTTTGTTGCTTTTTCAATTGGATTTGTCAGTAATACTACTTCCAGAATCAAGATTCGGGCTTGTTCTTTTGCAGTGTAATCACTAAAAGATAAGGAAATAAATGATCTTCGAATCAGTGCAAAAATGGTGTCACATGCTTGTTTGGTAAAAGCTTACAATCATGATTTGCTCAAGAGTATATCATTATTGTGTGTGTAGCATTGCCCTGGTTTTGGTAATCATGAATTTACATGTTTTTCCACATTCTTGCAGGTTGCTGGATTCTTGACGACTTGTTTTTTGATTTGCTTTTGGAAGCCAACACACCAAAAAAAAAAAAAAGGAAAACAGAAGTTCACCATTGAGTGATGATTTTGCAAACTAGGTAGCTTTCACGGGATACAAAAAAATTTCTTCAATCTTTCACAAAATTTTTGTTCCCCCTTGAGCGAAATTTGGGGAGTAGTCTCGGTTTCTTAAAAGGTCAGTTGTAGACAAATATGTCTCGAGTGTATGCTTACTTGTATTCATCATGCCCTGTAGTGTGATCTCTTGTTTGTTTTATTTTGATACATACCACAGCTCATTCTGGCTTTTTTGCTAAAAGAGACGAGAATATTTATTTTATTGTGTTGCTTCTCCTCAGCGGAAATGGTTGGAATACGAATATTATTATTATTATTATTGTGTTTTTTTTTTTTTGTATATATATATATATAGTTTTTCCTGTAGTCCCTCGGTGACAACAAATTTCTGGGCACTGATTTTTGTCATTTATTTGGATCAGACAGCAAGGTACAAGGTACAGTAAAACAGACACTACTACTAGTTTATCTCAGCACTACTGTTTTTTGTACCAACATTCTCCCCTGAGGTTCGGTGACAACAAAATTTTTGGGCACAGATTTCAATGACAGAAAATTTATTACTACTATATGATGTTTTTTCATCTTATCCACTTTCGGGTCTGTATCTATTCTACTACTCCCTCCGTCCCGTTTTGTTAGTCTTGGTTTTTTTTTCACACAGATTAAGAAAGTGTAATTAATTTGGTTGGAAACATAAATTTAGATTAATAATTTCCTAAAATACCCTTACGCTAATCTAGAAGAGTGCCAATTAATATCAGTTACAGCTAATGGATTAGTATTGGAAAAACTCAATGTATTCAATGTAGTGGGTTAGTATTTAATAACAATGTATTAATAACAAGATATTTAATAAGGGTATTTTAGATAATTTGAAAGATTACTACATTTCTTAATGGGAAAGTGGACTACAATTTGGGACAGACGAAAAAGGAAAACAAGACTATCAAAGTGGGACGGAGGGAGTATTATATTAGTGTCCAAATTGTAGCCTCGTGATATTAAGAGCCCTTGATTTGATCTACATATATATATACTAGGAGGCTTCCCTGCACAATGCGCAGGCGCCAGGTGTTTTATTAAAAAATTTTGGTCGTTTATATTTTGGTGGACAATTTTTCCGCATATGGATTATAAGATTGTATGGCTAATGAAAAATGAGTGGGTGAACTCCATCAGGCGCCTCTTTTTAGGCCCTTTATTTTTTTCGTTTGCCAGCAGAGCTAGAAGCAAACTCGATTCTGATATTCCTAGGCAAAATAAATTAAGAGAAAAAACTTCGTAAACAGTAGCGAGGAACACATAACCAACTGTGCAAAATAAGATTAAACTGATGATATTATATGCAATAGCCCTCAAACAAATGTGATTTGCTATCATCAAGTCAAAGAAAGTTTTCAATCGCAAAATAAGATCAAAGATCAAAAAAAGTTCTTCTGGACAAGCTTTTACAAGATCAGCTCATTTGGCGGAAATGAACTCTGTGATCTTCCTCCTTTTTTCAAGATACTTCGGTGCTCTCTTGCTACTCTTTGGTCTTGGTGTTTTTTTCCTTTCTTCAATGCTTTGTGTACCTACTCTTTCCTCAAGCTTTTCATCCAGAAGCTTATGAGTTCCACTGAAACTCCTTCTCACCAAGAACACCCCTTCTTCAAGCTTCTGTAATTTGGATTTTGCCACTCATAGAGGCAGGTCTCCTGCAACGTTTAACTTCTTGCATCGTTTTTCCCACTGCATTTGCACATCAACTCCAATTTTTACCTTTCATTCTTCATTACACAATCATTTAAGATTCAAAAATGCAGTTCAGTATGGTATGCAAACTATCTTGTCAACTACTATTAAAGTACAAGTTCACAGCAGAAGTACAAGCAAGCTATAGAAAAACTTCCACTTGATTCTTGCAGCAAATGAGATCAAAGCTTTCAACTTCATTACCAAAGTGTGTGTACTACAATCCTCATGCTAAAGTGTAGCTGAATTTTTTAAATAAACTAAAATATTTTAGTGAGGAAGAAAATTTGGGGACTGAAGAAAGACAATAAGTTAGGAATTTTACTTCTTTCGCTATAGCAGCAAAAACCCATTGCTTGGATGTGATTGGGATCAAGGGCTGGCAAACATTCTCTCTGAAATCAGCCAATCAGTTATTCTAGATCACAGTAATGTGTAGAAGCTGATTTAGGGATAGTCACATTGAATCATTCAAACAGAAAGATCTAGAAGCTGCACAAAGTGTGATATTCCTATATCAACAGACTTCAATGATAATGTATAAGAGTAGATAATAGAACCGGAAACAATGTGAATTAATTTACAACGATCCATGTGGAAATCCTACAATGTCAATCTCTATTTAGAAGTCTTCAAACAACATGATAAAGATGAGAAACGATATCAGATAAGAAGCATTTGGTAACTTCAAATTCTACGGTGACAAACTTTCTAATTAGTAATACTGCACAAACATGGAAGCACTACAAAAGACATTGACAGATAACAATGAAAGAATACAAATATAGATGTAAATGCAAAAATACTTGGAGACCAAATTCAACCTAATGATCAAATAGGAATCGTGAACAAGATTATAATCTCTGCAATTTCCAAGCACTAATCAAATAGTAGTTTATGATTACATCCTCACAATTTTCACAACATCGCAGAACTTGTAGATCAGATTATTCTTACATGACATCACCTTAGGATCCTGCATTGCAAGTCTGGTTCACTCTCTAGTCCTCTGTAAATTTTCTGCAAGGGATTCACCGGGTTGTTTGACACAAATTAATAGCTTAAAAATAAGCACATGTTGTACATCCAAAAGGCCAGTAGAAGAACCACTTGAACTGTGGTTCCTTGCTTTGTTCCTGGAGGTGTTCCCTTCGTTAGCTTTCGAAAATGCTCATCCTTCTCAACAATTACACGGAATACCCAAAAATTAACAAATACATATGAAATTGGAGTAAAAAATTCAGGGTTAATTTAGAACATAAGATTAAGACAACAAAACCTCTACCTCTATCACTGGACTTCTTTTCAATCCAGAAATGGGAGTATCAAAACCACCAGCTCCTGGCTGAGGCGTAAGATGCTTCGTGACACTTGCAAAAATAATAAGACCTAAAAATTGGAAAACTATCATAGCTAATATCTCTAAAAGTCCAAAGAACAAACTAAAGAGTTGTACCAAAACTAACTATTGTCAGCACTATATTTAAAAAAATACACAAAAGCGTTACCATCACATATAGATATATTTGCTGAAAATCCACAACCTCCATGAAAGAATCCCACCTGATCAAAAAGTTTAAATTCAAGGAAAAAATATGAACAAAATATGAGAATAGATAACAATATAATTGCTGGGCAAAGAAGTCTTCACAAAAAAAAAGGTGAAAGAAAAGTAGAAGCACAAAAATCCTAAGGAAAATAGATACATAAAGATGTAGCAATAAGAATTACTTGAACAAAACAAATAGCAAGAAAGGGGGGCAAAAGAGCAAGACCAAGAACCACAAGAGAAAACAAAGAAGCAGGAGACAAAGCAGAAATATTTTCTCAAGTTCTGGCACAAGAAGCCGTCGCTTGTGAATATAGTCATGACAAGCGGTTTCTCGGAGAGTGAGATGATCACGCATACTCCAAAAGCAAGAGTTGCAGGCTATGTGGATCGAAGGGTAAAACAGATTTTGAAAACCAGATCCCCAAAACTTAATATACTAAGCATGCATGTGAAGAAAGTGAACTATACGTAAAAAGAAGCAGAATACCTCCATTGATATACCAAACCAAGATAACAAAAGCAAATCCATTGGCACTTAAGATAAGAAAGTTGAACACAGTATGCACATGGGCATTAAAGAGCTGAATACCAAATATTGCACATGAACATAAATAGATAAACCTGAAACAAGTGAGCAAAAAACCAGCAAAGAAAAACCAGGAGGAGAAGTGAAAAAAATTTCTGGAAAACAAAAGAATACTTGATTCTTCTCCTAAACAAGCGAAGGAAAACCCCTGGGAGTTCTTCTTCTTGAATATATACAGAAATTTGCAAGTAGCTTGATCCTTGAATATACAAAGGAACTTGCATGAAACTTCATTTGTCTATCAAATACACACTATCGCATCAATGCATCATTATCAATGAGATGCAAGAAGTAGTGGCGTCCAAAGACCAACAAGTATGAAATTACAAAAATGGTTAAGGTCAGGTATTAAGGATCCACATAATCAGCATCTAGAAGGGCAACACGGTAACAAAGTTTTGGTAATGGCAAACAATGATTTAACCGTGCTGTCAAATCTAATTGAAAGGTTAAAACTATCATTGGTGCGACCACCAATTTGACCAAAAGGATTTTGCAGATAGTGTATATGCCTGATCATTAATAAATTGGAGTGCATGAACTCTATCGATAGCTTGGTTACCTATAAAATTAGCAATTAGTTCAGCCAAACTAAAGGTTGAAGTGAAAATAAGAAGGTAGAAGAGGAACAACCAGTAGTTTCTAATGTATACCTCTGCTTTTTTTTCTTTTTGTTCTTAATAGCTTTCACTTGTTTTGCTGATGAATGACTTCTGCCTGGATGATTCAACTATATATAATCAGAAGCAGAAGCCATAAACTTCATATACATAGTGGTACAAATATGAACAAGGTATTTGGATGAACAGAAGTGGCTTGAGATTATATAATGGAACTATTACTTATGCATGTCAGCGTGATATTATGAACCAGTCAGAGAAGCTGATTTTGCAGCTTTGAAAGCCTGCCATAGGAAATACTGGAGCATTTTCAGTCATATCAGAAGCAATTAAAGAGTTTAGCATGTTTCAATGAGCTGATTATTTAATCAATTGTTAATCTGAAATTAGTTTACAGATGATTTATTGCAAAACATGAGAGTGAAATAGAGTCTATGAGCATGGAACAAAAATAACAAATTTGTAGGTATACAACTAAATTGAGAATAAAATGACAATCTTGTGACAGTTGTTAAGTAGGTGATATGCTAATTTGAGCTCTTCTACACAGAAGGTAGTAATTTCATATCAAAGCTAGTAACCTGCACTTCTTCTTGTTTTAGCAGAGGGATTATGAGGAAGTTCATACACCTGGTTGGTTGGCAGCAGAGCTGACAAACCTATTAAAAATAAAGTCCATCAGATTGTTAGAGACAATGGTACCAGGACTTTTTTGAAAAAGTTGAAAGAAGATTTATCACCTGAAGATTTTTCTGCTATTTCTGTCAAGAATTTGTAGCAGTTCATACATATGAATGATTTATCTAAGAATCAAAGAAG